ATCATAGTTTTTTTTTTTTTTTTTTTTTTTTTTTTTTTTGAGACAAGATCTCTGTAATTCAGGCTGCTCTTGAACTCACTACATAGCCCAGACTGGTTTTGAATTCAGGGCAATCCTCCTGCCTCAGCCTCCCAAGTGCTCAGATTATAGGCATGCACCACGCTTGACCCTCAAAGTTAATCTTCACCTTAATCCACGGGTGAATATATTTTCCCAACGAGGACACAGAGGCTCAGAGACGCGCCCAACAACATGCAGCAAGGAAATGGTGACGCCAAGTACCACAATCCAGAGCCCATTCTTTGAACCAGGGGTCGGAGTTGGAAGAAACCTTCAAGATCCATTGTGAGCCAAGGGGAAGCCACAACCCAGAGAGACAAATGTGAGAAGTCAGAACTGGCCAGCAAATAGGCATCAAAGCTGAGCAGAGACAGACTCCAGCCACAAACGTGTTCATGCTATTCCAGCTCAGCTTTCGTTTTTCCTCCACCAGATTATAATCTCCAAAGCTTCTCTCTAAACCTCCTTCCTCTCTCCTTCTCTCACTCACAGTGCCCCACACTGTGCTCCAAGGGGAGGCCAAGCCATGCCTGCCGACTGCTGACTGACCCGCAGTTTCCTGCCACAGACCCTGCCCCGCTCAGTGAGTGTCTCCGGGAAGGTGGATCCTCTCCCTGGAGAACTCCTGGATGCTGGGTTATGGCGCAGACTGAGCCCTTTGCGCGGCTCATGTAGACCCAGTTTCTGAAACCAGGAAGCTGGGGTGGCTCCTGGGATGCTGGGCAGACCTACTGTGTATGTGCCAGGGACCCTAGTGAAGTTGCAGGGTGGGGGGAGCCCGAAGACGGTTCTAGTGTTTTAAGACACCGCAGCCTGAAAGAAGCAATTTAATTTTATCCTTACAAGTAAATGGGGGTCATTTGGAGGAATGCAAATGTATTCTGGGTTTTCTGGAGTGGTGGGCACCCTGAGCCCCTGTGCTATCTCTGGGGGTCTTGGAAAATGCCCTAAGGTAGACACGGCGTGTGGGCTCACTCGGCGGTGGCCATGGTGACACTGTGGGCCAACAGAGAAGCCAGGTCTCCCTCAGTGAGGGCAGCCATGGAGTGATTCTTGCCACACTTTCCCACGGCGGGGGCAGGTCTGGAGCATGAAACTCTGATGGCCTTTTCCGTTTGAAGCCCTTTGTGGAGGCCGTGCCACTTTGCTGGCAGCTCAGTGACTGCAGGCCAGCCTTCTTTCTCTTCCTTGTTTCTTAAATCTCCTCAATCTCCTCAAACAGACCTTTTCTGCTTACAAGGCTGCCGTCAGGCTGTGGCTTTGCACCATGAGGGCCTTACCGGGCCAGGAAGGGGGAGTCAGCAGCCACGATCACCAGCATCTGCAGGGAGCTAGGGTGGGCTACAGCCCTGAGGTCCCCGTGGACGCTGCACTTCCAGGGGCACTGGGCGGGAGGTGTTTGGGGAGGCAGCGGGACAGTGGGCAAAGCTTGGATGGACTGGGCTAGCGGCTGGAATTACAGCCTGCTGACTGCTCTCCAGTGGTGCGGCTTCCAGAAGTCCCAGAGCCTCTGTAAGCTGCCTTTTCTTCCTCTGTCAATGAGGGCAAAGAGCCTGGAGGGACCGGGGCGAGGATTAGCGATGAAGCATTTTACCAGCTAGTGCGTGACAGAGGCTAAGGACTGAACGGTGCCTCTGAAATTCCAGTGGGACAGTGTCTGGAGGTGAGGCCTTTGGGGTGAGGGTAAGGGCAGGGTCCTCACGATGGGATTATGAGAAGACATCCCGTCTCTGTCTGCCATGTGTGGACACAGCCAGAAGGCCGCTGCCTGCAGCCCAGGGAGGGGAGCTGGCCCCACAGTCTCAGGCTCCAGCCTACACACCTGAGAGAACACTCTTCTGCTGCCCAAGCCACCCAGCCTGTGGCATTCTGTTGTGGCAGGCTGAGCAGCAGGTGTACGGGATGGCTGTGACTATTGTTGTTATTGTTGTGTGTGGACTACAATTGCATAGGTTTTGTCCAGTGGACCACGGACGAGGGTCCTGAGGCTATGTTATGTATTCATTCTAGGCCTACCCTACGGGCCTATCCTGTCTCCAAGCCTAGGCTAGGAACTTCATCTGCATAAATGTTTTTGTGTGGGTGTGAGATAGTGGAGATTGAACTCAGGGCTTTGGGGCTGAGATATATCCCCAGCCTTTTTAATGTCTTAAAATTTTGAGACAGTACCTCCCTAAGTTCTTGTCAGGACTTGAACTTGCAATCCCTTTGTCTCAGCCTCCCAAGCGCTGGCGCGGATGCTTATTGAATGGATGGAGAAACTGCAGAAGAAGGGGACAGAAACTCAAATACTTTATTCTCTCAGATGAGCTGAAGGACATTTCCATGTGGTTTAAGAAGTGGTCCCAGGGGCAGATCGGGGACCACCTGGACCAATGGCTAACTCGCCTTGAGGTGCTGAGTGCTGTCTTTGGAGGACACCATCACCTTCACCCTCTGTGCAGTCAAGTTCAAAAAGAAGCTGCTTCTGAGAGCCACCATTTCCACGGACACACTCAGCTCCTTCAAAATGAATCCGTTTTCATTTGTCCTAAAAAAAATTGCTCTTTTTCCCAAGAAAGACCAGAATATAATGAAGGAAGAAAAACAGCACTTTCCCAAGGTGGGCTTTATTCTGAAGCCCAGATCAGGGACAAAGAAACATTCTTTGGTAATGACATAATCTGATTGTGAGGCTTAATTAAGCTGAGGGATGACCTGGAATGTTTAATTTTAAGATTTTAAAAAGAAAAGCAGGGTCCCTCCCACCCGATCTCCCAAGGCCACCTCCCTTGTCCATCAGGCTTGCAGCCCTCAGTTCCATCCTGGGAGCCTCAGGGCAGGGGGCCCCAGATGTGTGCATCACTACGCTTCCCAAACACCCTTCCCTGAGCTCCGGGAGAGCCAGGCAGCGAGGCAGCAGAGGTGGGTTTAATATAATGCACAGGCATTGCATTCCGCAAAGTAGGAAATGGTGCCTGGCCTCAGGGAAGTCTGGGAAGGGCCTCTTTCCAGATCACCGCACCTCTGAGAGGCCCTCATCCTGTTCACACCGCCTGACCCCTCTGCCTGGGCAACTTTCCTCTCCTCACTCCCATGGTCCCTGGGAGATTTTAGACAACCCTGATTCCAGGCCCTGGAGGCAGCACCCACGGCAGGTTAGACTCCCGGGGACCCCCATCC